CTGGGAGTTGAAGTCCGCCAGGCTTAACGTTGCCAAGGTTGGACACCCCTGATCTATTGTATCCATCCATCCATCCATCTCTTTTTTAATTGTTTTTTTTTCCCTTTTTACATATCTCAATCGCATATTAAACAGTACTGCGACCTTTTTTGTTTTTTACAACTACATGTCCGATACAATCTATACGTTCTATTTCTATACTTTCTACTTCTATTGTACACATTTCCTTTCCTTGTTTCTATTATATATATACAATTGTACCATTTCTCTCCCCTATTGCATTATATTCCGAATCTTCTTTTCCTTTTTACTCTGCAGTCAATTTATCCGTTTCTGCACAATCAAAATTTTAATCACTAGGCTTTCGGATGGTATGCAATCTTTTCTCCCAACACTGCACAAAGGCGATCCTTGCTGCTCTTATTATGTGTAGCCCCATATATTTTAACCTTTTATTATATTTCCCTTTAATTATCCCTAGGAGAAATAATTCCAGAGCGAATTTTGACTTCCTGTTAGTTCCTGTAATCCCTTTTGTATTTTCTTCCAATATTTTTTCGCTTCAGGGCATAACCACCATGCATGACAGAAGGTCATCTGTCATCTATTTCATCTATCTCAGATAAAATCATGGAATCCTAGGGCTTGGGAAGGGGCCTTGGAGGTCAGCTAGTCCAACCCCCCTGCTCAGGCAAGGAGGCCCCACACCATTCCAGACAAATGCTGGTCCGTTAAATGTCCAAGCTCTTCTAAAAAGCCTCCAGTGATGGAGCACCCACAACTTTTGGAGATCGTGGCACCCCCGTGTAGACCGCGTTGCAATAACTTGCAATAACAACAGCTGGCTGGGGAATTCTGGGAGTTGAAGTCCCACCTGTCTTCCAAAGTTCCCATGGTCGGCCTCACGTGGGATACATTAAATTATCCCACTTATTTCCAAAGAAAAAAAGGTGGGGGGGGGGGTTTGAATAGCCACAGAAGGTTGCCCAAAGTCCCCTTTGGTGTGGTTGTGCACGCACAAAGATCCATTATGCATGCAAATATGGGTTGTGCGATTTTTCCAGTTAAGAGCGCAAGGGCTTGGCGTCTGCCCTGGGCCGTTTTTACAAGGCGTCTGCTACCGTGTCCTTTTTTATAGAAAGTCCTCGACTTATGGCCAAAACGGGGAGCTGAATTCCTCTTGCTAGGCAAGACAGCGGCCAGCTGGGGAAGGGCACAAATGGGGGAATGGTGTGATTCCCTGGAAAAGCTGCAACTGTCGTAAACCGTCATAAAGCATCCCCTTTGCGACCTAACGAGCAAAAGTCAATGAGGAAACCGGATTCACTTAATAACTATGTGACTAACTCAACATCTGGAATGGCAAGGCAGGTCGTAAAATGGAGCAGAACTCATTAAACCAATGTCTCACATAGCAACAGAAATGTTGGGCTCAAAGGACTACCTGTATGACGGCCGGTTGTAAGTCACTTCCTTGCCGTTGTAAATCTGGTCACTAAACAAATGGTCATAAAATGAGGACAGCCTGTAACTTCTCTGTCCCTTTGGGCATTGCAGGACAACTTTATGCAGGTTGGCCTAACTTTAGGACAGCCTGTTTAGTGACCATTCAAACTTACCACGGCACTGAAGCAAATGACTTATGACCATGTCTCACACTTATGACTGTTGCAGCATCCTTGAGGTCACATGATCAAAATTCGGACACTCCATATTTATGGGTCCCGGGGTCACGTGATCCCCTTTTGCGACCTTATGGCAAGCAAAACCAAGGGCGAAGCCTGTTCACTTAGCAAACCTGTTACTGACTTAGCAACCGCAGTGATTCGCTTAGCGACGGCGGCAAGGAAGGTCATAAAACGGCAAAACTCACTCATATATTTTGGGCTCAATTGTGCTTGCCAGTCTACACGTTCTCCTCTTGAGCAGGTGTTGTTTCAACGGGAACGTTTTCAGGATTTAAACGTATTCTTTTCCCCCTGATTCGTTCATTTATTTCTGAGAATTTGGTGATTGTTATTATTATTATTATTTCATTTGTAATTTAGTCTGTAGTGTTGGGATCCGCTGTCTGTGACCCAGCAGAAGAGTTACCTTCAACCTCTGGAGACTGGGAACACATTTTCCGATTTTGCCTTGGATATTCCTCCCAAGTATTTATATACTTGACCCATCCGTGAAGGAAGGAAACATTTGATCGTTGGCATCCAGGATGTCAAACAAGGAAAACATTAGCAGCATCTACAGTAGCCTTCACTCTGTGAGTTTTCCTCTGCGCTTGCAAGAAATTATGCAGGGTGTAAATCCCAAATTTCGTAACGGTTTACTTCATTGACATGGCACCTTGTACAACAAAATTAAATCACATCTTCAGTGTACATTATACCTATAAAAAATAAAACACGCTTCCTTCACATTCTATACAATTGAATATTGCATTCATATTGCACTATACAGGAGAATTCGGTATAGTTACTGCTCTGGGATAGAAGCTGTTTTTCAGCCTATTTGTCTTGTTTTTATTATCCTGTACCGTCTGCCAGATGGTAATACCGTGTTTTCCCCCCAAATAAGACCCTGTCTTATATAGTTTTTTGCCACCAAAGAAAGGTGCCAGGTCTTATTTTCAGGGGACGTCATCCACTGATTAACCTCACTTGTGTGCATAGCCCCAGCCTCCTTTTCGCTGTCAGAGGCCTTCAGGAGCTTCTGTGGCCGGCAAGGCTTTTCTGAAGGCCTCTGCAGCTGATAACAGAGTTCTGGATCGATCCAGAGCTTTGTTCTCAGCTCCAGAGGCCTTCAGGAAAGCCTTGCCGGCTGCAGAAGAAATGGGCCAGAAAGGCAGCTTAATTTTTACCCGTGCACTCTGGAGTGGGTGGGATCTTAATTAGGGCTTATTTTTTGGGGGGGGGGGTAGGGCTTATATTGGGTGCACGTGTAAAAATCAAGCTAGGACTTACTTTCGGGGCAGGTCGTATTTTCGGGGAAATAGTATAAAAATAAAACACAAACACATCCTTCACATTCTATACAATTGAATTGAAAACCCGCTGATACTGCATTCATATTGCAATCTATACAGTAGAATTCAATATAGTTACCGCTTCTGGGATAGAAGCTGTTTCTCAGCCTATTTGTCCTTGTTTTTATTATTGTCCTGTACCGTCTGCCAGATGGTAATGGTTCAAAAAAAAAAAAAGGGGGGGGGGGGCGAGGATGAGATGGATCTTTGAGAATATTTTGAACATTCTTTTTTTAATAGGTGGGTGTATTTTGAGGCTTCCTCAACGTGGGATGTGCAGGCATGATATTCTTCCGATTAAAATCGGAATTCCGATTTTTTTGGGAATCGCCCCCCCCTTTCCCCCCCACCCTTCTTTCTCCTCCTTCCCCTCCCCTCGGAGGCCCCGAGTCAGGAGTTCCTGGCGCGGCTCCAGTCCCGCGTTGCCTCAGGAAGGGAAAGGCAAAAAGGAAGAGCCGCGGTGGCGCTTTGCAACGGCAGCAGCGGCTCCTGGTTTTGCCTTTCCCTTCCCGAGGCAACGCGGGACTGGAGCCGCGTGGAGCTGCGCTGGCGGTAGCAACTCCTGACAGCCCCAGCCGGATACCTGAGCGGAGCCCGGGCGGTGCGAGTGGAGGCCGCTGAGCGGCAGGAAAAGGGAGCTGGGCCAGCCACAGACACGCCCGGCCCTGGCGAGGGAAAGCAGCGGGCGCTCCCCGGGCACGCGGCGGGGGGGTCTCTTTTGGCCGGCCCCGATTTTTTTTCCAGAGCGGAATATCATGCCTGGATGTGTTAATCCCGGATTACTTTGTAGTTTGACGTGCCCTCTTTTGAAAGAAAAAACAAAACAAAGACATAACAGTTCATTCCTATTTGGGGAGCTGATGTAGGAAGTCCTCCCCTTACAACGCCCATGATGGAGGCTGCCTGTAAATCACCTTTTTTTGGTGCCGTTGTAACTTGAAACGGTCGCTAAATGAACTGTTGTAAGTCAAAGACTGCCTGTACACAGAAGCCTTCCGTTAACTAGAAACCTTTTGTGTTTCTTTCTCAGAAATGTCTTTTCCCTCCATTCCTTTTTTCTGAAGCCATCACAACAAGCCATACATTTTCCAAGCGAAAATACCGATTTATTGCTGTGTTGGTCTCTTTTCCCGCAGTGCCACCCCAGGAGACAAGCATCCGGTCCACAACACCTTCCCTACAAGAATACCATCATGCCATCCACCACTCCTTCTAGGTCAATTTTGGCGCAGAGAGCCTTCACCCACAGCACCAAGCACACCATGAAAACGGCTTACCCCAAGAATCCAGGTAAGATCTTCCTTGAGTGTTTTTTTGTGGGTGGGGGTGTGTGTGGATGTCCCCGTGGGAACCTTCATCTCACCTTTGCAGGTGATCCAACGTCTTCAAATGCTCTTGAGAGCCATTTGGTGTGGATTAGGCCCTGTTCTACTGTATGCTGCTGTACAAATAGTCCAGGGGTCGGCAACCTGCGGCTCTAGAGCCGCAGGTGGCTCTTTCCATCCCTCTGCTGCTGCTCTGTTGCTCAAAATATGTGTCACAACCGCCATTGTACGACACCCGCTGGCATGCGATTTGAGCTTTCCAACCCTTGGTCGGTTTTGTGGCTCCTGGTGTTTTCTGTGGGAAAGGGATCCAAAGGGCTATTTGAGTGTTTAAGGTTGCCGGCTCCTGAAATAGTTCTTGATCTACAAAAACGTTGGTTTAGTGGCTAACCAAGGAGAGAAGCAACCTGGACTTAAGGAGAAAGTTGCAGCTGTTCTGTCCTTTGATTCAATTGTTGTGTATAAAGGCAGGCAGATAACTCTACAAATTCTTCCATACAAAGTTTCTTTTATTAGATTATATTAGATAATCTCAAGGTAACTCACGGTTACGTCGAGATGCATCTAATGTCCAATTGTTGAGATCATAGTGTAAAATGATAGTAATCTTTCCACCCCATATTTCATCCCATAGTAGTGGAGCCAAAGGAGAGACGCTAGCACGATGCTAGGGTCCAAGCAAGAGTGAAGGAACCTCCCCCAACCCACCAAGGGTCAATTCAGTGACCAATCAGGATTACCGATGTGGCCACATGACATGAACTACATTTCCCAGGATACCTTAACTACATTTACCATGATGCATTCCCTTAAGGGGACAGCTTCCAATTCCTAACTAACTATACCAATCCCCATTAACTATAACTGGCTGGACAGCACACTAACAGGGAGGACAATTGACCCGTGGAACAACTTGCCACCAGAAGTTGTGGGCGCTCCATCGCCGGAAGGTTTTTAAGAAGAGACCTGGACGGTTGCTTGTCTGAAATGGTATAGGGTCTATAGGGTGTACATATATGCTATAGAGTCTCCTGCTTGAGCAGAGGGTTGGACTAGAGGACCTCCAAGGTCCCTTCCAGTTCTGATTGATCATTTTGGTTGGTTGACCGTTGAAAGCTACAGCGGCACTGGGGGGGGGGGGGGAGCTGTGAGTTTTTGCACTTAGCAGCATTCCCAAGGGTGACATGATGAAAGTTGAGACGTTTGGCAACTGACAAGCCGCGTCGACAGAGGCGGCTGAATCCACCTCATAGCTGCCTTTCAGGTGGTCCTTGATTTACAACCACAATTGAGCCCCAAAATTTCTGTCGTTAAAGTGAGAAATGCAGTCAATGTTGCCCTAATTTACGGCTTTTCTCGCCGCTGTTAAGTGAGTCGCCGCAGTTGGAAAAGTTTGTCACCCGGTCGTTAGGTGAATCCGATGTTCTGCACGGAACTTCGCTGGTCAAAAAGGTCGCAAAGGGGGATTACCTGACCCAGGGACACTGCGACCGTCATAACTATGAGTCAGTTGCCAAGCGTCTGAATTTGTGGTAACGTTGAACGGTCGCTAAATGGGCTGGTGTAAGCCCAAGGGCTTCCTGGAACTTATTTAAATCCTCGCGGCCCATACAATTGGGCGCGGCTCCCGTTAACAAATGCCTCGCGACAGAAATTCCACTCTGGGTTGTGGCCGTGTGTCAAGGACTCTTGTCTGGTTTTCTGGCTCTCTAGGTATCGCAGGGAGGGTGCCTCTCAAACCCGCTTCCGTCGCCCCGGCCTTGCAGGACAGCCCACCGTGAGTATTTTTCCCCCCAAGACAATGACAAAAGTAGAGAGGGCGTTTGGGAGCGAGCTCAGCCTTTCTCGGCTTATCAATAATCCTCAACCTATGACCATTTAGTGACGGCATCGTTCCCACAACCACCAAACTTGGCTGTCTTTAAAGTCATTGACACTCACGCACACACACACACACATATAAATTGAGTGGTGAGTTGGCCTAGTGGTGGAGCTCTCGCCTCACAGGAGCTGGGGGTTCGAACCTAGATAGAAGCAGATATTTCTCTCCCTTGGCACAATGAGAATATATCTGCTGCGAACCCCGCATTGGCGACAGGAAGGGCATCCAGCCAGTAAATGGTCAACTCCATACGGGGTCATTAAATGAAAAAAAAAATTATATACTCGTGCTTCGCTTCGAAACTATGCGATCGGTCTTAGATTTTGGGAAGGAAAATAAGAGGGAAAAATTCTGCCTCTGCCTACCAGCATCCATTGGCATTCGTCTGGTTAGCGCCCTGTCAGTGTGGGAGAGAGTTGAGGGATGTTTGGAAACTGAAAGAATATTTGCCGCGTGAGCGAAGAGACAGCAAGGAGCCTGGGCGTGGCTTAGCTCAACTGTTCTGTACTAAAGCTGCTTGATGCTGCTGTGAAACTAAAACTGAAACTCCTCTGCTTGTGTTTTGCCTTTGGAAGAGATTTCTTTCTTTCAGGTGGCTTCAGAGTCTTAATAATAATAATAAATGATAATGATGGAAACACTCTAAATGCTCTGAGGGTCATTTGATAAAATCCTTTCTTAGGGAGCCCCTAGAAGCCAAGAGGAACCTACGGGCCCAATTTCAAGTTTGTAGGGTTTACGGTTCTGGAGATTTTGTGACGATCCGTGAGGGGCCTTTCGCTTATATATATATATATATATATATATATATATATATAAAACGTGCGTATGTGTTTTCTACCTTGATTCTCTTCTGCCCTCCCTTGTCCACGTCAGGCCAGAGAGGACCGTCACCATCGATGATTTTGAGATCGGGAGGCCGCTGGGCAAAGGGAAATTTGGCAACGTTTACCTGGCCCGGGAGAAGAGCTCCAAGTTCATCGTGGCGCTGAAAGTGCTCTTCAAATCCCAGATGGAGAAGGAAGGGGTGGAGCACCAGCTGCGGAGGGAGATCGAGATCCAGTGTCACCTCAGGTACGTGGGTTTGTGGCCCGAACCTCGGTCTTTACAGCGGGGCGGCTTTGAATCGCGGTTGAGAGGGGGGCTTCTCGGTAGTCCTCCCACGACACCAAAGCTTGGCTGTCTTATCAATTCCACTTACCCTGTTTATCTTCATATATATAAATCTATATACAGGTAGTCCCTCTACTTGGCAACAGTTCGTTTAGTTGTCACCGTCCTCTTTTAACGACCCAATCATCCCTTCTGGGGTGGAGTCTGGGCAAACAAATGGAGCCGAGGGTTTACTGGCCGGATGCCCTTCCTGTCGCCAGTGCCGAGTTTTTGTTCGGCCGATACATTCTCGTCGTTTTCTCAGAGAAATATTAGCCTCCAGCTAGGGTCGACCACCGCACCGTAACAGCAGTTCAATTTAGTGACCGGTTTGAAGCAAGAACGGCACTGAACCATGTGACTTAACGGCCGTTTTTCCACCCATACAGCCATTGCAGCGTGTGTGTCCCCCGGTCGATAGACAAAAGACGCAGCTGAAATGGCGCGTCTTTGTGACGATCGCGGTGATGGGCATGCTTCCCTTATGGGCGTAACTTGAGGACTACCTGTGAAGCACTCCTCCCGCAGAGCGCTTGAAGGAAGGTTAATCCCTGCCCGAGATTACAGGGTTTTTGTAGAATAAGATGGGAGGGCCAAGCTGGGGAAAAAAAATGTTTTTTGTTTTTTTTTAAAATTATCGGGGTTGCCATTTAACGTGTCTCCCCGCAGTCACCCCAACATTCTGCGCCTCTACAACTATTTCCACGACAAGAAACGAGTCTACCTGATCCTGGAATACGCCCCGCGCGGCGAGCTCTTCAAGGAGCTGCAGAAATACCAGCGCTTTGATGAGCAGAGAACGGCCACGGTCAGCCACGTTCTTTGAGGACTGGAAACTTGGGGTGGGTGGGGTGGTTTTAGGTCTCCTCTTTCCGTCCAACTTCGGGTTAATGGAGGGCAGCAGACCTGAAGGTTTGTCTATTTTAATAGTTTATTTAAGAGAGAATCTTTGTAGCTCAGGATCGGACTGTGGCGTCCTCGGGCACTCTGGGCTTGGTGGTTTTCTTGCAGGCGTCTCACGACCCGACTAGGGAACGGAATCAGTGTTAGGAGGGAGCGGGTGGTTTTCTTGGAGACATTTCATGAAACCCCAATAGATAACATCATCCGTGTCGGGGAGTGTGGGGTTTCTCCCCTGTTTATATACCGTATAGTAGCTTGCCCTGCCCTTTTTGTGTGTGGGGGGGGGGGTGTTCTTGGGGGGGCGCCTTAATTAGGCATTTGTTACTTTCACGTGGATAGTTTCAGCTTGGGGGGGGGGGGGCACAATAGGCCAAGCCAAAAATTGTTGACAATTCCTGGCAAATTGTAGACGATCTCTGGCTTTCTGACATATCAGCTATCAACAGGCACATAGAGGCAAAGAACATCTACCTACCACATAAAGCAGACAGGTGAAAAAGCCGAAAGACCAGAAAACCTTTGCCAGCCGTCGACACCCAGACAAGCAGAGATTTAACACCAAGATTAATACTGATGCACAATCACTAAATAACAGCCTAATCGAGGCAATACCAAGGACATTCCCGTAAAGAGATGGCAAACTCTACTCCCTTCTAGCACTGACTATGTTACCTAGTTGGGTCGGGAAACGTCTGCAAGGAAATCATCAAGTTCAGAAAGCAACAACCCCCCTCTTCCTCCACTCCACAAACCCCATTCCCTTCTAGCACTGATGGCATCACCTAATTGGGCCATGAAACGTCTACAAGAAAACAATCCAGCTCAGAGCACCAAAGCCGCCACCACCCCGCAAGTAATTTAAGTTCAGGTTTTCCGTTGAGGGCTGTGGGTTTGGGCCCGGCTCTCCCCTACCTTCGTGCACCAAAACGGGCACTTGGGGTGATTTGGGCCTCCCGCTGAGGTTGGCATTACCAACACCCACCCACCTCCCACCTGATGGATTTCAAAGACCAGTCACTGTGCAGGGTGCCAAGATGCCTGACTGCCTGGCAGTGTTTTATTACATTTATAGGGTTTTTACAAGAAGACCAAGGCAACATAGATACAGGATCTGGATCGGAGAATAGATCCCACATGGGTGAACCCCCCCCCCCAACCACATTGGTACAACTTCCCAAACAATCCTTAAGACTAGTTAGTAAAATGAGGTCGCCTATATGTCTGTAAAGTCTGGGACTTTCCACCTTCACCAAGATGTAGGGAATTAGATCATGCCAATAGCCAAGAGGCCCCATATAGGTCTAAGACGCTGCGGTGTGCCACTAGCATCACCTACAGGATCTCAATTGCCACTACAGCCGCCCCCTTTGTGCCCGCCTCTACAGTTCATGGAAGAGCTGGCCGATGCCCTCCAGTACTGCCACAATAAGAAAGTGATCCATCGCGACATCAAGCCTGAGAATCTACTAATGGGCCTGAAAGGGGAGCTGAAGATTGCCGACTTTGGCTGGTCGGTCCACGCCCCCTCGCTCAGGTGGGTCGGTCGCAGGGGCGGGCTTCAAAAGCTTTGGCCGCGGGTTCTCTGCCCGGTTGATGGGTGGGCGTGGCCTACCGGGACTTCCGGGAGGCCCGTTTCTCGCCTTCCCCAGGCTCCGGAGGCTTCCCTCAAGCCTCTGGGAGGGCGAAAACTGCTTCCCGCGGGCTCCGGAGGCCGGAAACGGGCTCGTTTCCGGAACTTCTGGGAGGCCCGTTTTTTCTTCCTCCCCAAGCCTCTGTGTGGGCCCTGCACTTAACCTGGTATCCAAAACAGGCCACACGGAGACTGTGGGGAGGAGAGGGGTTGGAGGGGCAGGGCAGGGTGTCTGGGGCCTGCCAGGGATGGGATTTGGCGGTTCGTTGAATCAGCCGTAACGTTAGCAATGGGTCTGCCCGAATGTTCTGCCCAAGGCTTCTTGAGGCTGCAATTAATCACACACGCTTAGTCCAAACAACCCTCTTTTTATTTCAACGCTGGGAATTACGTGCATTCCCAGACCGCAATGAGTCCCAAACAGTCCCTCGAGATAAGCACCCACCTTTCTCTCCTTTGAATTGCTGCCAACAACTAACGTGCCAAATTAACTATAAAAAGCCAAACGGACTACAAAGTCCACCCGGAGAGTTTAAAACCGATCAGAGTGAACAAAGTTGCTTCCTGCAAGGGCTCGTGTCCCTTTGCTCCTCGTTTATGTCATATGGGAGGGCCAATCATTTCCAAGCCTTACTCTCAAGTTGCCCCTTTTATCTTAGCTGCTCTTTCCTTCTGGCAGCTCTGTGCCCACGCACGCTGGGAACAGGCTCCCCTTGTTCCTCTGCCTTGCTGCTGCCCGGCTCCGAAGGCAGCACCCCACTCCCAGACGGCCCAGGCCCCATCTCTGTATTGGACACAGGACCCTCGTCCGAGTCCTCCCCAGACTGGCCCATGGTCCTCCCCACTGTCCGGCTCTGCTGCCGTCTCCGCAGGCTGCCAACAGACCACAACACCAAACCTGGGCGAACCCTGTAACAGCCCACCCCTGGTTGGTGACCCCCCCCACACACACACACACTGACTTTGGGGTGGGCGGCTTGGGTGATTTGGAGCATTGGAAAGCTTCCCTCACGGCTTTCCTTGGGGTCGCCATCTTCTGTTTTTTTGTTTGTTTTGCAAATTGCTCTTCAAGGAGGAAGACCATGTGCGGCACTCTGGATTACCTGCCCCCCGAGATGATCGAAGGCAAAGCCCACAACGAGAAAGTGGACCTCTGGTGCATTGGGATCCTGTGCTACGAGTTCTTGGTGGGGAATCCGCCCTTCGAGAGCGAATGCCACTCCGAGACCTATCGGCGGATCGTGTCGGTGAGCCTGGCCAGGACGAACAGAAGGCCTTCTGGCCGAGATTAAGTGTATAATTCCAGACCAGGTCGACGGAGATTCCTCGGCCACCCACCCAGGTCATGGGTGTTGTCCCAAAGGTGGTTTTTTTCCCCGAGAAGCAACTGGGCTTCCTTGCGTTTTGCTTTTGAAGACGTTTCGCTTCTCAATCCCAGAAATTTCTTCAGCTGTGACTGAAAGGTGGGGAACGGAAAGGTATAATTATATTTCTTGCAGGCAGTTGGTCATTTGCATCTTTTTAGAGCAGGGGTGTCAAACTCGATTTCGTTGAGGGACGCATCGGGGTTGTGTTTGACCTTGAGGGGAGGGGGGCCTGGCCAGCTCATTGTCACTCGTGTTGGGGGGAGGGGTCACCTGTGGAGGCCAAGTGCTAAGGCAGGACTTCCTTTAGACCCTCCCTCCCATTATAACCCTTCCTTAATTTTCTTTAATCCCTTCCTTCTCCCTCCCTACTTCTCTTTCTCAATTCCTCCTGCCTTCCTCAATCCCTTCCTTCTTCCCCGTTTCTCCCTCCTTCCTTCCTCAATCCCTTCCTTCTTCCTCCCTCCCTCCTTCCCTTTCTCAATTCATCCTTCCTTCCTCAATCCCTTTTTTCCTTCCTTTGTTCCTCCCTTCTCAATCTCTCCCTCCCTCCTTCCCTTCCTCCCTTCCTTTCCTTCCTTCCTTCCTTCCTCCCTTCCTTTCCTTCCTTCCTTTCCTTCCTTTCCTTCCTTCCTTTCCTTTCCTTCCTTTCCTTCCTTCCTTTCCTTCCTTCCTTCTGTCCTTTCCTTCCGTCCTTCCTTTCCTTCCTTCCTTCCTTCCTTCCTTCCTTCCTTCCTTTCCTTCCTTTCCTTCCTTCCTTCCTTCCTTTCCTTCCTTCCTTCCGTCCTTCCTTTCCTTCCGTCCTTCCTTTCCTTCCTTCCTTCCTTCCTTCCTTGCTTCCTTTTTTCCTTCCTTTCCTTCCTTCCTTCCTTTCCTTCTTTCCTTTCCTTTCCTTCCTTCCTTCCTTCCTTCCTTCCTTCCTTCCTTCCTTCATGAGCCGAAGTGGTGCAGTAGTTAGAGTGCAGTACTGCCAGCTGCCTGCAATTTGACTGGCTCCGGGTTGACTCAGCCTTCCGCCCTTTTGAGGTGGGTAAAATGAGGACCCAGATTGTTGGCGGCCGAGAGGCTGACTCTGTTCACCGCTTAGAGGGGGCTGCAAAAGCACCGTGAAGCGGTATATAAGTGCTGTTGCCGTTCCTTCCTTTTCTTCTTCTTTCCTTCCCTCTTCCTTCTCTCTCCTTCCTTCCCCTCTTTCCTTATTTTTCCTCCCTTGCTCTCTTTCCATCTCTTCTTCTTCTTCTTTTTCTTCGCCTCTCTTTTTTCTCCTTTCATGTCCCTTTGCGTGCTTGAGTGCAAGAAGGGAAACATTTCTCATTTTGTTTTGCTAGTCCCCTGCCAGCAAAAACGGAGTCCGGGGGAGAGGGGAAGTGTGGCCTCCCCAGGCTCCCGTTTTTTCTGGCAGAAAGCTGCAGGAGAACATGGCCCTCCTGAGCTCGGTTTTTGCTGGCCGAGGCACTGCGGGTTGGTCCTTTTGTTTTTTTCCAGGGCAGCCCCACAGGCCGGATCTAAGCACCCAGAGGGCCAGAGTTGTTGAGGCCACTTGGAGGTTTGTCTGTGGGGATGAGATGTCTGCACCTGGGTTCAACGGTGAAATGACACAGGGTAGAAAGCACCCTGCAGAAAGCACAGCTCCACAACCCAGCTCCTTTCAGCAGCAGCTCCAAGACTCCACACCCCCTTTGCATTAATCGGGTGGCTATGAGGACACAGGTAAACCTCCAAGTGGCCTCAACGACCCTCTAAAAGGACGCAAATGACCAATTATCTGCAAGGAGCATAAATCCTTCCATTCCCTTCCACCCAGTCAGAGCTAAAGAAGCTTCTGGGATGAGAAGTGAAACGTCTTCAAGGAAAAAAACCCAGACAGTCCAGTTGCCTCTTGAAAAAGCACTTTTGGGACATTCAAGGCGAGGCTTTCCTGCCCGAGGTGGGATTGGAATTCATGGCCTCTTGGTTTCTTAAGCCAGCATCTTTCCCATCACACCAAACGGGCTCTCTTTAAATTTATTTGCATATATACATACATACATCCCGTGATCCCCCTTTTTCAACTTCTGACCAGCAAAAGCCACATTCACTTAACGCCCCTGTTGCTTGCTCAACCTCTTGAGAGAGATTCAACCTGGAAATAAGGAGAAACTTTCTGACAGTGAGAACAATCAACCCATGGAACAGCCTGACCTTGGAAGTTGTGGGAGTGCCATCACTTGAGACTTTCAAGAAGAGATTGGACTGCCATTTGTCAGAAATGGTGTAGGGTCTCCCGCTTGGGCGGGGGGTTGGACTAGATGACCTACAAGGTCCCTTCCAACTCTGATTATCTGTTATCTGCGGGGATTCGCTTAACAACGGTGGCAGGAAAGGTAAAATGGCAAAAAACTCAGTTCACGAATGACTCGCTTAGCAACAGAAATTGTGGTCATACGTTAAGGTTTACCTGTACACTCAAAAGAGAAGAAACCTATGATCAGATAACCCAGTTTTCTGCTCTTGAACCAGCCACGATGTCTGGGATTGTAGTCTAGTCACCTGCTGGGCCAAGGGTTGGCAACTTTAAAGTCTCAGAAAGCCATTTGGATCCGTTTCCCACAGAAAAGAAAACCACCAGGAGCCACAAAACCTACTGGAGGTTGAAAAGCTCAATAAATAGTGTGCTGGCTGGTGTCGCACATTGGTGGTTGTGACACATATTTTGAGCTGACAGGGAGCCTCAGATGAAAAAAGTCACATGCGGCTCCGGAGCCACAGGTTGCCGACCCCTGTGCTAGGCTAAAATAAGTTTTGCAAGTGTTTGCTAACTTCTCCATGTCTCCCTGGTGCGTTTGTGTGCTCAACTCGGCTCCATTTCCTTTCCTAACAGGTAGATCTCAGGTTCCCCTCCTTTGTGACAGAAGGCGCTCGGGATTTGATTGTGAAGCTGCTGCGTCACAACCCATCCGACCGTCTCCCGCTACAAGCCGTAATGAATCACCCTTGGGTGAAAGCCCACTCCAAGCGGGTGCTACCACCGGTCTTCAACCCGGAATCCCCGAACTAACGTTGGATACCCAGATGAATGATGTCCCCAATATATGGGGGCTGCTATGTTTTTGTTTTGTGGTTTTTGCGTGCTATCTCAGGGTTTTGGGGAGGGACATCTTTTCTGGATTGGAAACATCCTTGCACCCCAAGATACAGACAGAGATCTTGTTTCGGAGAGCTTGGAAAATAATGTGGGTGGCCACCGTCACCTGGACAGGCAGCTATGTCTAGATATAGGAATCCCCCTTTGATGCTTTGATCTTGGCTGACCTCCTTTGGGATCATCCCGGATCTGCCACTGTGTGCAACTTCTTGCAAATCTGTTTTTTTTCCCCAAGGAATAAGCCAAAACGGTATGCCCCATCTTAATATATATATATATACTCTAGAGAACTGTTAGTAATTTCAATAAAACTTATTTCAGACTTGGCAAATCAGACCTTTTTTTTAAATTGGTTTTTCTCCTAATATCTGCATATCTGGAAGTTGTGCTGATTATTCCAAGAACAGTGAAAATGGAAATAGCTGGATTGGCATTGGGGCTTGGCATGATGTTTCAATTAACCGTTGAAAGGGATAAAACAAGAAATAGGAATTACAAATAGTTCTCAAATTACACACACACACACACAACACACACACAGAGACAGTCTTCTTTTTCTTTTATCTGTGTTAATCTGTCCATTTCTGCACAGTCCAATATTTTTAAAATTATATCTTCTTTAGGTGTTTCCTCTCTTTTCCAATGTTGTGCAAAATACAATTCTTGCCGCTGTTAAAACATGTAATATCACATATACATTCCCTTTGTTATATTTTTCTGGTATTATGCCTAACAAAAATAGCTCTGGCTTAAAATCTTTATGTGGTCTTCAAATTTTTTTAAACTGCATATGCCTTTTCGCCCAATTTTTTTTTGCTTTTGGGCACGTCCACCACAGATGGTAGTATGTGCCCGTTTTTTTTTATTACATTTCCAACATTTGGTGGACATATTTTTTTTAAAGAAATAGCTAATCTCACCGGTAGTAAGTGCCACCTATAAAACATTTAATACAAATGTTCTTTATAAGTGGTTGCCATCGTCCATTTATAGTTTCTTTCCCAGAGTTTTTGCCAGTTACCTAGTTCTATCATTGGAATTACAGCCATTTCTTTAGACACTGTTCGAAGTTACAACACTACAGTAAAATATTGTAGTCTTATATTTACAATCTTTCGTTTAGTGACTGTTGAAAGTTATAATGGCACTGGAAAAAGTGACTTTATGACAATTTTTCACAGAATAGTTGCAGCATCCTAACATTTGCTTTTTTGCAACCCGGCATCTTTGTGCCGTTCACTCCAACCTTCCCATAAAGCTGACTGGGGATGATGGGGTGTGAAGTCCCCCAGGCATCAACTTGGCATTGCCCATCCTTCAATCCTGCTTAGCTTGGGACTTAGGTTTCGTCGAATTTTAGTTGGGACTAAACCCCCCAACCGACTGGTCTCCCAAACCAGGATAGCTGGTTTGTGCGAAGCCAGGCCCAACCCTGTTTATTCCAGTCAGGTGGATCAAAATGCCCTAATTTGGGGTCTTCAAAGTTATGACTTCAAGTGTGATGCAGTGGTTTAGAGGGAGCTCTCCCGTTACAATTGGGGCTGTGAGTTTGATTCTAGGTAGAGGCAGACATTTCTCCCTGGGCCAAAGTTGAGAATATACTGTGTTTTGGGGACTATAAGATACACAGGACCTTATTTTATGCCATATACACACACCTAATCCTTACATATATCTGTATATCACTACTATGGATCTATCCTATCCTCTTTTGCCTTTTAGTGTGAAGTCTACCTTTGGTCTATCCATTTGTACCAGCAGTTCCAGCTGTTGTAGTATATTGAAGTGTCTTTATTTTTTAATGCCGAAGTTAATTTGTCCATTTCTGCACAACCTGAAATTTTTTGAATGATCATCTCTGATGGAACATGAGGCTGCTTCCAACATTGTGCAAAAGCCAATCTGGCCGCTGTCAAAATGTGTATTATTATATATTTCACTTTTTTTTTATATTTGTTTATCAAAGATCCCTAACAGAAAGGACTCTGGTTTGAATTCGATCTGTTCTCTTGTCATTTCTTCCAGCCAATTTCTAATTTTCTGCCAATATTTTTGAGCTTCTGTACAAGACCACCACATATGGAAAAAAGTTCCTTCTTTTTTTTTGCATTTCCAGCAATTCGGACTCATATTGGGGTGCATCTTCGCTAATCTCGAAGAAGGAAAGTGCCATCTATAAAACATTTTATAGGCATTTTCTTTGTATGCTACCGATTTTGTAATTTTATTATTTCTACCCCAGACCTTTTCCCATTCTGTTATGGTGATGCTACGTCCTATATTCCTACTCCAGGCTATCATGTTCCCTTTTACAATTTCTTCTAATTCTACTTCTAATAAATAATTATAAAATTTTGTTATATTTTTTTTGCCTGATCCTAATAAAATTTTATCTAATTGCTGGAGTTTATTGTTAATTCCAAATTCTTGTCCTGTTTATGTCTACTTTAAATTTGAAGATATGCCCACTGGTCAATTTTTAGTCCCCGCTCTTAAAGTTCTTGCCACGATTTCAAATTTCCTTGCGTATCCAATAGGTCCTTATATTTAATCATTTTAGTAATATCCAGATTATTTGGATGAATCATCGCCTCCATTGTTGAAATCCAAATTGGTATTTTTAAATAGTGTTTTTTCCGTATTTTCTTCCAATTAGTTAATAATGAGTCTCTGATTAGGTGTCTGTGAAAATATTTCTGGCTAGTTTTCCCTACATCCCATAAAAAAGCATGCCACCCCCCTCTGCAAGTCATGGCCTTCTAAGAATAATATTCTCTTATTGGTTAAATTCACCCATTCCTTCAACCATACTAAAGAGGCTGCACGAAATACAACTCCCAATTTGGAAGTGCCAGCCCTCCCCTGCTCTTCATATCCTGCATTGCCTTTAAATTTATTCTAGGTTTTTTCCCTTACCAGATAAATTTTACAGTTATTTTATTAAGTTCTTCAAAAAAAAAAAGTGTGTACTTTGATTGGGATCGTCTGAAATATATATAGGAATTTTGGAAGAATATTCATTGTAATAGCAGCAATCCTGCCTAATAATGAAAGTTGCAGCTTGCCTCATGTTTCTAAATCCTTCTTTACCTGTTGCATCAATTTATCATAATTATTTTCCTTAAGTGTCTTACAATGTGCTGTCAACCATATTCCTAAGTATTTAACTGTATCACTTGTATTCCCATAACTACTACTAGTTCTATTTTCTGTTTTTCTGTTAAATTTTTAGTCATTAATTTTGTTTTCTTCCTATTAATTTTAAGTCCTGCTACTGCTCCAAATTGTTCTAATTCATTCATCAATTTTTGTCCTCTTTCTATTGGTTCTTCAATGAAAAAAAAATCATATCATCCGCAAAGATTTCACCGAAATCTTCAATAGATCACTAGAGATGTGCTATGTTCCTTCTTGCTTCAATATCATCCCAGTGCCAAAGAAGCCCTCCATCAAGGAATTGAATGACTACAGATCAGTTGCTCTATCTGTAGTTATTAAAACCTTTGAAAGGCTTGTGCTGTCCCACCTGAAAACCATCACGGATCCACTGTTAGATCCCATGCAGTTTGCATACCGAGCAAATAGATCGACAGATGATGCTGTTAATAGGGCTCTGCACTACATCCTACAACACCTTGAATCTCTGAATACCTACGCAAGGGTCCTCTTTGTAGATTTCAGTTCAGCAATCAATTCCATCATTCCAGATGCTCTTCTAAGTAAACTAAACCAACTAGCGGTACCTGAACACTAAGTGGATCATAAGCTTCCTAACAGACAGGAAGTGGCAGGTGAACCTAGGCAGAACCATATCTGATACCTGTACAATTAGCACAGGGCCGCCCCAAGGCTGTGTGCTTTCTCCACTTCTCCCTATATGATTACATCTCAAAAGATCCATCTGTTAAAATACTGAAGTTCACAGATGACACAACAGTGATTGGTCTCATTCGAGACAACGACGAATCCGCATACAGACAGGAGGTTGTACAACTTGCCTCATGGTGTAACAGGAACAATCTGGAATTGAACACACTCAAAACCATAGAAATGGTGGTAGACTTTAGGAGAAATCCTCCCATACTACCACTTCTTACAATACTAGACAACACAGTATCAACAGTAGAGACCTTCAAATTTCTAGGTTCTATTATATCACATGACTTAAAATGGACACCTAACATCAAAAACATCATCAAAAAAGCACAACAAAGAATGTTCTTTCTGCGACAACTCAGAAAGCTCAAACCGCCCAAGGAGCTGCTGATCCAGTTCTACAGAGGAATTATTGAGTCTATCATCTGCACCTCTATAACTGCCTGGTTTGGTTCTGCAACCCAACAGGACAGACCAGAGCATAATTAGGACTGCACAAAAAACAACTACCCACCTTCCTTCAATTGAGGACCTGTTATACTGCATGAGTTAAAAAGAGGGCTGTGAAAATATTTACAGACCCCTCACATCCTGGACATAAACTGTTTCAACTCCTACCCTCAAAACGATGCTACAGAGCCCTGCACATCAGAACAACGAGACACAAGGACAGTTTTTTCCCCAAAGCCATCACTCTGCTAAACAAATAATTCCCTTGAAAGGACATTTTGACATGAATCAATCTAACCTCTGCTCTTTGCATCTGTTAAAGAAGTTGCTTGTACAATTTGGTGAGGATGGAAATCATTTGTTCGGAATTCATTCTGTAAGAGAATTGTATGTATCCTTTTCTATCTGGTTTCTCGCCTCTGCAATTTGCTTCAGAGCTAGACACATCCTTGGAGACGATTCCCATGAACGTCCTGCTCCATAGATGGGGGTGAGGAGGTGGGAAGGAGCTATCCAGGAGCATGAACCCACAAGGACAAGGGATACTGTGTAAAATAACAAAGTATGGATTGAGAACGGACAAAGAACGCTCCATGGATAAAGAAGGGGAGGGCACGGGCAAGACATTGCCCACATTAATAACGAACCTTTGTCTCTGATTGGATAAACTTAGTTTCTATCAACGTGAAATGTATATAATACTCTGAGCCACTCTCACAGTGTGTGGCTATTCCTTACATGCATTTTGTCTGTATGTTTTGGACATAGTACTCACCCAGACTTTTTGCTTTGGCCAAAGAATAAAAAAGTTATTTTTGCAAGCCTCCTCTTTGGCATTTCCGTGGCTTGGGGAAACTTCTGGGACCTTGCACCCTCAACACTGTCCAACTTTACAAAATCTGCACTACTATTACTGTAAATCTTCTCATCACTCCTTATCACCAACTCCTCCCACTTGTGACTGTATGACTGTAACTTTGTCGCTTGTATCCTTACGATTTATATTGACTGTTTCCTACTATGATTTGATTGCTTATTGTACCCTATGACTATTATTAAGGTTTGGACCTTATGATTCTTGACGGATGTATCTTTTCTTTTATGTGCACTGAGAGCATTTGCACCAAGGCAAATTCCTTGTGTGTCCAACCACACTTGGCCAATGAAGTATTCTATTCTATTCTATTCTATTCTATTCTATTCTATTCTATTCTATTCTATCAAGTTTAGAGAAGGAAAACAAGGGAAAAAAATAGTTTTAGGCCTCTGTACATCCCATTTTCGGCCTCCCTGTCTCCCAGAAGCACTCTGCAGACCAAAAATTAATTCATTTTTGCCTCCCAACCCCCCTGCGCGTCCTGTTTTCAGCCTCCCCAATGCCAGGGAGGAAAAACTGGGATCCACAGAGGCCTCTGGAGGACCGGTTTTGGCCTGCAGAGTGCTTCTGGATGCTGGGGAGGGCAAAAACAGGATGTGCGGAGGGTTTGGGAGGCCCAAAACAGGCCATATTCGCTCTATAAGATGCACAGACATTTTCACCACTTTTTTTGGGGGGGGGGAGTGCATTTTATAGTCCACAACCTGTTGAATATAACTCCGTACTGGCGATAGGAAGGGCATCGGCCAGTAAAACACTGAGCTCCATTCAGTTGCACAAGATTCCACCCCACAAGGGCTTATGGAAAGAAAGAAGATGAAAGCTATGACTTCAAAACCTCACATTTGAATGTTTGTTTGTTTTCACTTGCGGGTGGTGCTGATATCGTGTTTTGAACCGATTTTTATTGAAATGTTAGAGGTTTTTCCTTCCCTTCTCCTTCACCAACTTGGTTGAAAAGGAAGCCGACCAAGATGGCGGACTCCTTCTCACTCCTCCTCCTCCTCCTCTCCTCCCCCCCTCCCCTCTCTGAAATGCCCGGATGTGACAGCTCGTCCGCCATTTTGTTGCCTCTGCCGAAGCGAGCAGCTTCATTCGGGGAGCGCGAGCCTCGCAGCCGCCGCCGCCACCACTGACCACCCGACCGCCCGCCACAGCCAGCGTCCTCCGCGATGTAAGTAGCACTCAATGCAACGCGGGCACCGGCGTGCAATGCTCCTCTTTTTGCATTAAAACAGGTGCACGCGAGAAAGCGGGGTTTTGGTTTTTTTCTCCTCGGCCGCCCACGCCTCGGATGCCGCCTGCGGTAATGGAAGGGGGGGCGTCGCGTTTTATTTTTATTCCCCCACCTCCCGGGTGGGGAAGGGTCATTGCAAGGAGATGAGCGGCTTGCATTGGTTTTGGTGCATAGGAAACCGACTCTCCCTCCCACGCATTTTTTCTTTTTCTTGGCCTGGGGGGCAAATCTGCCCCTCTTTTGGTGAAGGGCGTGAATAGGGAGAGGGCTAGGGAAAGAGAAAATACATAAAGCAACCTTTCTGCCTTTTAAAAAAATATTATTTTGCTGCAATTGATGCTTCCTTCTTGGTATCTTCTCCCCCAGACCCATCCAATAGTCTAGGGTGCTCTGATGAAAAGACGGGGGCTTTCAGATCTGGGGGGGCTGCTGCCTTTCAGACGCCCCCTCCCCAAATAAAAAAGGGGGAAGACTTGGCTTTAAGCGCTCTCTCCCCCCCCCCCACCGTATGGCACGTACCTCGTGTGCCCCAATGAATGAAAATCTCCTTTTTTAAAACCTCCTTCCCCCAAAAAAATCTCGAAAACGGGAGACGACCCTCTCCAACGCCTGCGCCCTCCCCCCCCACCCGCCTGGGGTGAAGGAAAGAAAAGGAGAAAATAAAAACCCTACCGGTAATATTGTGTTTATTTTTTCCCCCTCCCTCTTATTTAAATCCTTTCCCAGGAATAAATGAGGTCATCTTTGCACGCTTCTCTTTCCCTTTTGCAAACGTGCAGAAGAGACGGTGGGTGGGTGGCGGTGCTGCCTTTGAATGCAACGTTTCTTTTTGCCTTTTAATATTTTTACAGCCCCCTCCCCCATTCATCTAGGGTGGAGATGGAGCCGTGCATTTGAATTGCAGCCCTCCCATTTTAATGCACACATGTGTCTGTCTATCTATCTATCTATCTATCTATCTATCTATCTATCTATCTATCTATCTATCTATCTATCTATCTATCTATCTATCTATCTATCATGTATCCATCCATCCATCCATCTGCATTGTATGTATGTATTCATTGTATGTATGTATGTGTATGTATGTATGTATAGTCTGGCTCTGTGCAAATTAACGGGGGGGGGGGGCCTCATTGGGACCTACTGAGCCCCCCCCCTCCAAAAATAAAAAAGGGTAGAGAAGGATTCAAAACAGAAGGGGAAAAATAAATAAAAGCACTTTGGAAAAGAGAGTCATTCCCCGCCCTGTTTTGCATACAGGTGGTGGGAGGTGTTATTGACAAAAATAAAAATTAAAGGGGCTGTAAAAATAAACACCTCTTTTTTCCCCCACCTGAGAATTGCAAATAGTGAAAATTTGGGCGGGTGGGAAGAGGGTTTGCAATAAAACGCCCCTTTTGCAAGCTGTCTGACAGAACAAAAGGTTTGAAAGGAAAGGATGGGGCACCAAGAGGTAGTGATTTTTTTGAGGGGGGGTGCCGCCTCTTGAAAAGACAGGTGCATCCACTTTTCTTCCCCATTTGAGTATTTTTAGATTTTGCAAAGACAAGCTGGGCAGATGGAGGATGCTAAAAATATTTTTTTTAAACCCTGTTTTTTTTCTCCCCCCAGGCTGTGACACTTCTATGGTTTTCTGTGTAACTTTTGGGGTTGTTGCAGTATTTTATTTTGTCCTGGATTTTGGGTGGGTGGATGAAGAGGGTAAGAAACACCCCGATTTGGCTTCCCAATCCCCCAGGCTAGGTGGGTGCGTGGTAGGGAAAAACTCCCAGGGGGCTCTAGGAAAGTTACAAAAATAAAATAATAAAAAATAAAAATGGAATTTGCAAAGGGGTGAAGATGCATTGATGGTTGGTGGTTGGGGAGTGGAATATGGGTAGAGGGGTGGTGTTCATAAAAGGAATAGGGTGTGTGTGGCAGCTATCCAAAATACAGAGGTGAGACATTTCAGGGTGATTTGATGCGGCTTGCTTTTTAGCTGGGAATGACAACATTTTAATATCTGAATGGCACCGAATTGGCGATTGGAATGGAGGTGGGAGATGTCATATTTTATTGGTGTTCTTCAAACCAAATTTTAAGATGGGTGGAGTTCAACTCCCAGAATTCCCCAGCCAGCAATGTCTAAAGATGCTCCTGGGATCGTGCAGAATGCCGCTGTGTGTGTGTTGTTTTCGGAGAATCTGGTGGAAAAAGAAAAGAAAAAAAAGCCACAGGTCTCGTGGGAAATATATACAAAATGCCTATTCCGCAATTGCAACTGGGGGAAATGCAAATCTGACATCAATGATTTATTATCCGGTGGGATTTAGGGCCTCAATCTCTTAAAGTTTCATGATAAACCTATTATTATTATTATTATTATTATTATTATTATTATTATTATTATTATTATTATTATTATTATTATTATTATTATTATTATTATCTAACAAGGGGATTGAATGGAAAGACTGCCTAAAAACACCCAGCCTCCAGCCAGTGCTGAATCACCACCTGCAAAATAAAAATAAAAAGATAAATCTGAAATATCCAGTTTGTTCTTCCTGGTGAACTTATTGCAATTTCCTCCTTTGAAGTCAACTTTGATTTATTTTATTTATTAAATTGCTGTCCATCCCACCATCAAGAAACACCATGCCCTAATTTCATATATATATATTTTTGATAGCGAGCAAGCAGGTATTTCATTCCTTTTTAAAATCTCAATTTTTCCCCTTGTAAAGTGTTTCTATTTGCAATTCCCCCCCAAATCCTGGGGATCTTTCCCCCCCCCTTTCTCTCAATGCTTTGTTCCCTGTTGTATGATCCATATTTTCATCTTTCTTTTTTTTTTTAAAAAAAAAAAAGGAATTGACACCACTTTGGATTGCAAGGCTCTGATTTGAGAGAGCTTTATCAATAAATCATTAAAAGGCAGCAAAATCCTGAGTTGCAGATCCTGCAATTGAAAAAAGGAAGTTTTGAGGTTAGGTCGGTTTTCAATCAAAAACCCACAAAACTCTCTCTTTTTTCCCAATCCTTTCTAACCCTGGAGAATCCTTTCTCCTGGAGGAAAATACGAGCTGGGCGAAAGCCAGAATAATGTGATTTTTTATTTATTATTATTATTATTATTATTCCTTTGTCAAGGTGGGATTCAAATTCACAATTCCTATGGGTGGATCTGCCTTAAATCTGATCTGCAGAGAGAAATCGTGTGAGGGCTGAACAAAGCCTCTTGTTCACAGAGTGCTAAGCCGGTTGAGCTGCGGCCTGGTGCTTCTCAATTGTTTGCTGCCTTTGGAGACAAAGAGTTGCATTCTTTGTGGGTTGTGTCACACTCACAAGGCTGATTCTTCAGCCTTACAGAATAGCCACTGGGTCAGTACGTCCCGATTTCTGCAAATTTTAAGATGGGTGGACTTCCAGAATTCCCCAGCCAGCATAGCTGGGGGAATTCTCAAGAGTTGAAGTTTCAACCATCTTAAACTCACTCAGGTTCAGAAACACTGCAAAATAACAACAACAACAACACAACAATAATTGCTCCTAAATCTAGCTTGGTTTGCTTGCCTCTCAAGACTCAGCCACTTACCTTGGACAAATCTTCTTGGTCTCCTTTCCTTCTTCTGTTTATTCCTCACTAATAATGATAAATCCAGATGATGATGATTGTCTTGCCACCATGGATTTGTGTGTTCCTTTCTTGGCAGTTGTGTTCCTTGTTAAGTGGGAGACTGGTGATATCTGAATTTACATTTATATAGATTCATTTTTTTTTCCTTAGGAAATATTTTTGGGTACCCATGCCTGCTCTGGAAATATTTATGAATGAATATTTTACTATCCTGAATTAAAGGATTACAAGGTCATAAAAACGGAGTTTGTTTGTATCCTGCCTTTATTATTGTTTTTACAAATAACTGGAGGCAGCAAACACACCGAATATTTTCTTGGCAAATGGACAGCTGTGTTCTCATCAAGGCTGTTCTTTTTTTAAAAATGTGGAATTTAAAATGTGGATTTTAACATGCTTAAAGCTTTTACTTCCTGTTTTGTGGGGTTGGATGGCAGGAATTTTTATTTTCTGTACGCCCGTCTAACTCAATAGCAAGCAGGGGGTAAATTGATTTATATCTTAATATATATTTAGTCCTCTCATCCTCAGTAAAATTTGAGTGGCTGTAAATGGGAGATCTGTGGCTTGGCTTTGCAACTTCAATTTTCAATGCAGAGCTCCCTATCCATATAAAAATATAGATGTATTTGATTGTAATTTCCTAATGGGGGTTATTTTTGTGAATATTATTCCACAGGCTGGGAAAACAGCCAGTTTATTTGACAACGGATGCTTTCCAAAGATTTCCTCTTTCCTGCTCAAGTTACTAGTCCTCACAGTCTCCAAATCTAGGAGGATGGTTGAATTCAATGCACCTGAAGCACCAGGTGCATTGAATTCAGGTGCATTAAATTCAACCATCCTTGGTTTGGAGGATGGTTGAGTTTGGAGAAAAGAGGAGATTATAAAGTTGGGAGAATATATATTAGGAGGTAGAGAAATGGAAATGAATAAATTGAAAAATATTTTTGGATAAAAGGATTAGGCAGATTTGTGGGACGACTGGCAGCAAAAAATAGTGGGGATGAAAATGATGGTTGGGTTGAATATGAAAGATGTAGATAAGGACCTAAGGGAGGAGTATGGGACGCAAGTTAAAAAGAGAAGAAGTGAAACTTTCAAGAGGATGAGAGAAAATGGATAGGAAGGATTCTTTTTCTAAAAAAAAAAAACAAGATTGGCTATATTAAAAATTAGAATAATTAAGAAATTAGGAAATAGGGAGAAGATTGTTATATATATTCTTACATAACATATTTAAAGTGAATGTTAGAGGTTAAGATCAGATTTTGAAAAAGGGTGTTATCAGGTATGTTAAAAAATAATGCTATTA